TCCTTTACAATCGCTTAGCTTTTTGTTTTGTGTTTTCTATCTCTTTGTCTTTTCTGTATTTCTCTAAGGGAGTTCCTCAGTTGACTTTTCCTGCTTACTGATCATTCATCAGCTGTGTCTATCCTACTTTGATCCCTTGTATTGTGTCTTTTATGTCAACTATTATATTTTTAATATCTATTGTTTTTATTTGGTTCTTATTTTTTGTTCTTGTTTTCTTATTGCTCATATTTCCTCTTATCTCCTTATGTATATTTATTAGGCTTATTTTGAATTCTTGAGTTGTCTTTTTCAGTAACCTTATATCACATGAGATATGTTTAGTTGGATGTCTTTCTTTTACAGTAGTTATACCCTTTGGAAGTGTATTTCATTTGGCAGCTGCTCTGATAATATTTGTTGGGGAAGGCTGAACATCAGGCTCCAATCTATGTAAGTCTTGTGAATTTAGAGAGAGGAGTCTAGCCTCATGGACTAGAGAATTACTCTTGCATCACTCTGCTGCCTTCCTCTGTTCAGTTTCACTCTTAAACCCTTCGGGGAAAACAGCACCAAGAAGAAAGAGTCTCTTGAGGTTATGATCCACCAGCCCTGAGGGTTTGAAGGGGGAAGGGAAGAAGAGTAAATGCTGGAAGGCCATGGATCTGTCCACATGTTTTCCCCACTTTCTCACACCAGAAGGTCAGAACTACTGACCTGGTATTATCCTCGGAACACCTGCGCAGGTGGTGGGTCTGCTGCTGATTTTGGCAATGAAGTTGTGAGGAATGATTGTCCTGAGGCTACCTCCTGGAGAGAAGCAAGGGCAGAATTTAAAAACCTTACCGCCAGCCTATCTTCTGACTGCTGTCTTTAGCTGCCTTCTGTCTCAGGCTGAAGCCACTCACTTTTTTCCAGCACCAATTCCAGCTATCTTCTACTCTTCCAGGGCTTTTCTCATCCCAGTTATCCAAGTTTCCTGCTGCTTTTATTGTTTCTCCAGAGTTGGCTCTGGAGGAGGGAGTCAGGAGCCCATGATAATAGACTGTTTTGGCTTCTTTCTTTCTTGTTAAATTTGTATGTGCTGCCGAGAGCCTCTTGAATGCCTTGACATAATTTAAGTGTACTACATCTTCCAGGAATAATTTTTAGACACCAGCCTTCTCATCATTAGCTTGTGCTGCAACTTTGAAAGTGCATTTTTATTAAGCAAGTGAGAAAAGGAGGATTTTTTTAAATGAGATAGATACTTTATTTAAAAAACAAATTTTATCATGTATATTTGAGATTTACAACATGATGCTATGGGATACATATAGTATAATGCTTACTATAGTGAAGCAAATTAATATACCACGTAGCTATTTGTTTTTGGTGACAAGAGTGCCTAAAATCTACTTGTTTAATAGAAGACTCCAAATACCACAAAATTTTGTTAACTATAGTTCTCTTGCTGTAAATTAGATCTCTAGACTTATTCATCCTACATATCTGCTGCTTTGTACCCTCTGACCTATATCTCCCCATTTCCTTCCTTTTCCCCTTGTCCCTGGTAACCACTGTTTAGATGCTGCTTCTTGAATATTGCTATCCGTCATGCCTGCGTGGGAGCAGATGCAAATCTTTATGTATTTGTATTTTGTGGCAGAGCTAGAGTCCTGGAACTAAAACTTTTTCTCCTCGTTTTGTCTGGCTCTGGCTCCACTGTCTGTAGTTGAGCTAACTCTGTTTGCCAGCTTGTTGAGACATTATGAAATTTTCTGTCTTCTCATTCTATTGTTTTCTTATCAGTGCCTGTTCTAGTAGCTCACTGTGGACGTAGCCGTGATTGTTGTTAGCATTGCAGAAACAGTGGTTACAGGTGTTTAATTTTATGCCAGAATGTGTTTTTTAAACTGGTACTTAGATTCTGTCGTGGTTTCTAATCCTGTCTTTGTCTTGTCTAGTTAATGCTAATGTAAATAAGGGAGAAGTATCAAAATAGTTACTTAAAAAGGTATGATATCTAAATTTTTAAATTGTAGGTAAATATATATAACATAAAATTTGCCATTTTTACCATTTTTAAGTGTATAATTCAGTAGCATTAATTACTTCACAGTGTTGGACGGCCATCACCACTCTCTGTTTCCAAAACTTTTTCATGGCCGCAGAGACTCTGGAACCACTAAGCAATAATTCCCTATTTCCTCCTGCCCCCAGCCCTTGGCAACCTCTAATCTGCTTCTGTCTTTATGAATTTGCCTATTCTAAATATTTCACATGAATGAAATTATATAATATTTGACCTTTTGTGTCTGACTTATTTCGCTTAGCACAATGTTTTCAAGGTTCATCCATGTTGTAGAATGTATCAGAACTTCATTTCTTTTTATGGCTGAATAGTATTCCATTGTGTGTATACACCACATTTTATTTTCACATTCTTCTGTTGATGGACACTTGGGTTGTTTCCACCTTTTTGGCTATTGTGACTAATGCAGCAGTGAACATTGGCATACAAATGTTTCTTTGAGTTTCTGTTCTCAGTTCTTTTGGGTATATTCCTAGGACTGGAATTACTGGGTTGTATTCTAATTCTATGTTTAACTTTTTGAGGAACTGCTAATTTTGCTCCCTCTTTTAGCCTATTTTACCCACTCTTGCTAGCAACGAGAACTGTTCTAAAAAATAGCATTGCTAGCTGGTCCAAAGGTAGTGAGTTATCTCACTTGATTGTTCACAGTCAGTTACAGATTGAACTTGTTCTACTCTTTCTCCCATCTCACCTCTACACTTGACTAGTAAAAAAAAAAACAGTAAAAAAAAAATAGCATTGCTAATGTGATACATGCAAATATCTCATTATTGAAAAACCTATATCTCATTGATGCTGTAATTTGCATTGCTTTATCAATGAGGCAGAATATTATTTCTGCTTATTAATAATTCATATTTCCTCTTTTCTGAATTACTTTTTTAGGTTATTTTAAAAAATTTAGGTCACTGATACTTTGCAAAGCTTATATTAATCTTTATCAAATTTAACCTATTTATCTCTGCCAAAAGTATGGGTCATTTTTAACACTGACCTCTACCTGTTGGTCTTTTTAAACAGTGACATTTAAGTTCCTTCTGGGCAAAACTGAAGTCCAGACTTCATAGGAATT